GTGGTGAGAGACTCAAATTAGAAAAATGAGTCTCTTATCAATATAATATTATTATTTTGTGTATAGTTTATTATGAGAACTTTTTACAGATTTTTTTCTTTTATTGGTGAGTCTCTCATCAATATAATAATCATTTTTTCAAACAAAAACAATACAATATTATTATAGTTTATTATTTGTAATATAATTTAATTTATTTTAAACTAAAAGATTTTTAAATTATATCTTTTAAACTATATCAAATTATGTTTTAAATATATTCAATTTTATTAATTAGTTATATTTGTTCATATAATCTGTAATAGTAACAATAATAAAACCATAAATATTATTAATACAATTAAACATAAAATTAAATAACATAAATTAAAATGCAAAAATACATAATAACATATAAAACCATGATCAAAGATATAATTAACTTGGCTCTAATCTTCATGACCAAATTTTAATTTTTTATTATTATAATTTTAACTAATATTAATTAAAATAATATTAATATATAATTTAAAAATTCAAGTATAATGGAACTTGTTAGATAGGTAATTTTATTTTATGATTTTTAAAAAAACAAAAATAAAAAATAATAACATATAAACTATTTAATTTACTTATATGGGACATATGTCATCTTGTGAATGGTTTAAATTTTATTAGGGTAAATCAAAAACATTAATTTAATATTTTTTTTATTGTTTTTAATTGTAAGAAACTCATTGAAAAAGTACCACTAATCATGTTCTAAGACCATTTTTAACGGAGGGATCTAAAGAAAATCTTAATATGATCTTAGCATTTAATTGATTAAATTAATTCCCAAATGTGCATTAAATTTAAGATGGGTTCCTTAGCTAAAGAACAAAAAAAAATTTAAGAGCCAAAATTTATAAATTTAATACTAAAAAATTCTTAAGAACTAAAATTAAGAGACCATTGATAATGGTGCTCTAAAATTGTAGAACAATTAAAGACAAATAAACCCTAAATGAAGTTGGGCCAATTAAAGGCTACTTCATTTAATTTGATACACTCGACTTCTCCACCAAAGTATACGTATCTCTTTTAGCCAATCAAGAGGGTCAAACCCCACGCCTACACTTTCTTCCTTTTGTGTATATTAGTGTATAATAATTTCTTAGTTATACAGAATTCTTCTTATTCCTTTAGATATTTGAATCATTTCAACTCTAGGAGCTAATGTTTTAAAGGAATGATAAGAATTTTGAATAAAAACTGACTTTTTAACATAAATTATATTTACTTTCGCTAAATCGAAAATAAAATAGAAAACCCGCATTATTAATCTACATACCAACATATGTTATACGCAAAACTAGTATAACTTTTCGGGTTGGATTTCCCATCCTTCTACTTGTTGAATTGGTCGAACATATATATGTTTTGTTGGAATTGTTGCAAGCATAGAATTGTAAAGCTTGACATTAATTGTAAAACAAGTAGTCTTTAAATAAGTCAAGTTTCTTGAGGGTGGTTTTCCTCTCACCAACAAGAAAGAGACATGTACTTCATAACGGCGAAAATGCTCTGAAAGATGGGCGCGGAGATGATGAGATCCTTAGCCTTCGGAACAGTCAGTATACGGCTAGCCCTAAAGGTCAATCTTGTAGAATATAACTCTTGGAAACCAGGCTTCAAGGTCACTTCTGTGGACCATTGTCTCATATCACCCAAAGGCAACCATATATTAACCTTACGTCTATGTTATCAGCATCTTACCACCTTCTGCTGGCCAAACAAGGTTATAATTAAAACTAAACGGACTGGCCAAAGTAGATGCAAACACCCTAAAGGCACTGAAAAAACAAACTCTTCATCGGAAATAGCATGGGTTTCGTAATTGGTTCATCCACAAATTTTCTAAACAAACAATAGAATAGTGTTCAGTTAAAAAAACTACGGTGCTACGTAAAAGATCCGAACGTGTAAAATACCCCTTGTTCTAAAAATTTCCGCCTAACTCCGATTACTCTCTGCTTAATCGCTAGACTCATCCTATCCGTCTCGATTAATGACTAATCCCTTAAAAAAATTAATCACCCGATTACTCTCCACCTAATCGGATTATTTTCCATCTAATCTGATTACTTCCCGCCGCCTAATCTTACATATCCCGATTATTTTTAGATTGCAAGTATAAAACAACTTTTTTTTGTTATTCAAACATTTGCATTGAGAGTTTGTGATCACTACAAAAAAAGAGGTATGTTGTATCATTTAAATTATATCACAAATCTAAGTGATACTATTTTCAATCAGTTATTTATAAATGAAACAAATATACATGGTTTAACATCAATTCTAATAATTGATGTTGTAATTAACTAATTTTGCATCAATTCTATAAAATTGATATAGTTTTTCTTAGTTTGCATCACTTTAACAAAATTGATATTAAAGTCTAAATTTACATCAAATAGGTAATCGATGTGTTTATTAACTGTTGTTAACATCACTTATAAGTGATACAATAATTCAAAATAAATGATGTAAAATGACCATTTTTTTGTAGTGGATGTTTTACAATAACTTATGTTCAAATTTTTTAAATAAAAATCATAGAAAATAAAAATCATAGAAAATAAAAATCATATAAAATTTGTCTTAAAAATTTATTTTAATGTGTTTATTGCAATTTTGAAAATAATATTGGATTAATATGTTTTAAAAATAAGTAAATAACCCTAAAACTAGTCCTCAATTAATTTTCGATTTTAATCCGATTTATCGCTAGACCCATACCGAGCGCCCGACTAGTGCCTAGCAATTTTTCAAACAAGAAATATATATAGATTACATGTATTGTAGCAGGCGACAAAAAAACATTAAATAAAGAACGATAAGCTTTTTTTTTCTTTTCTTTTTTGGCGGTACTAGATATTTTTAATTGAACGATTTTTAAAAAATTTTAGTTGCCAACTAAATGTTTCTAGAATTTATGATTTACATTGAAGAACTTTGAAAGATTGTTTACTAATATTATATATAAAAAAAAAGAATCGTTTATTAATAAACAATTGAATAAAGAAGGTTATCTCTAGTGTGGACTACACAAAATCAAACCGACAAACTCATCATCATTATCCCATCTATATAACATTTGAAAAAGATATTAACAAACCTAATTTTACAATCTATTATATTTTTTTTTCTTCAACCGTTTTAGTCTCTATATATCTATCTCCCCGGAACTTTTATGGTGCGTAAATATATATAAACCAATTTTCAAAAAGCTGACGTGACTCTCCACATACTTGCTTGTCAAGTAAGCTATAATTTGGGTCACTGGTCGCTATAAGCGACCAGAAAGAGAACATGGCCTAAATCATAGACTTGTTGGTGGTACGCTTTATTGGCAGATTAACTTTTGAAGGCTTCCTAGTAAAGATGAAGATAAAAAACATTTATGTTTGAATGTAATGAAATCAATATAACTCACTAGCAAAAAAAAGATAATGAAATATATTTGCATTGGTTGCAAATAAAATGATATTTATTATCTGCATCACCACTTTCAGAATCATTTTTATAAGTGAAATTCTTTTATATCAATTATAAGTAATGCAAATATTTAAACTAAATGAGACAATACACCCGTTTGTAGTGTACTCGTATTGTACCAGACGAACGATAAAAGAAATAAAAGAAGCTAATTAAACAAAGAATAGATAAGCCCTTTTTGATAAAATAAAGAATAGAAAAGTTTCAAAATGTTTATAGTGGTATTAGTGGTAGTAGATATTTTCTAATTCAAAGTTTCTTTTAATTTTTAGTTGTCAATGAAATGTATCTATATAGGATTTATGATTTATCATTGAAGAACTTTGAAAGATCGTTTACTAAACTATGTACTAAAGAACATTATCTATAGTATTGGACTACAATATCATGTATAATTTTTGAAACTAACAATATTTTAACACCTTTCTTTTTGTTGATAGATAATTCCCTATGAAAATCTATTCACTAATCCATTGAATTTCTACTTAGAACCCACCCAATTGAGAGACTACTCACACATAGAGAAAGAGAAAAGGAAAATAGATATGAAAGAAAACATGATTCAGTTGAATAGAAATGAAATAGGATTCAGAAATCTTCTCCAATTTGTCAAAGAGGATGGATTCTTCTCCCAAAGTTGCTTACAAACCAAAGAACAAAGTTAAGAACTGAAAAATATCAAAGATAATGTCTCCAAAGTCGATCATACATAGAAGATGAGCCGGGTCGGATATGGAGTGATTTGGGTCAAATCTAGGCCAAATATTCGTTCGGAGAGAGGATCGATCGATCCCAAGGAAGATCGATTGATCCAGAGTGTCTGGAACTGATTCATGTCCGTCAGAGGGTGTGGATCTGGATTGATCAATCTGGAGCTTCTGGTGTTCAGCTCTGCAACTGCTTCAAATGCTCGCCAAAATAACATGTCTTCATTAATTCGGGTATAACTCTTGAATGCACCGTTAGATTTCCTTCCAATCACTTGGAAAATAAATCTAACATCTTAATATAGCTTGTGTCAAATATTCAGAAACATCTAACGGTGGAAAATCGTCCATCTGAGGCCAAACGTCTGATACTTCTACACGAAACTGCATCTCCAAATGTGTGTTTATATCCTAAAACAGCTCGTTTTCCTCTAAAGCAACCTAAAACCTGTAATGACTCGATAAAGGACTAAAAGATCCTAAAAATTAAACACACTTTGACTCTACAAAATATATGATCTAGGAAAGAAATCAAAGACTCAAAACCGATTAAAACATAAGATAGCATGACTCATAAAAATCTGTCACGAAAGAGTAGCATTTTGCGATTATCCGAAGGAAAAGTTACAAATAAGTCACTAAATACCCACATATATGCGACTTATTTTTGACTGACACCTGAGATAGAGACGATTTTGCTATCTTTTAGCAACCCTCGCGATTTTATTAAGATATTTATCAATAAAAATGTTAATATGTTAAATTTCAAGTTTTTTACATTGATTTTAACTACTTTAGATATTGATTTAGTACAGAGAAGATTAGCATGGCCCCTGCGCAAGGATGACACGCATAAATCGAGAAAAAAAAAAATATTGATTAATTACAATACCAAAAAAACTTAAAGTTTTCAATGTTTTAAAAAAAATTCCTAAACTTACATAAGGGTTATATGTGATGTTAACTTATGGTTTTGAAATTTCTTAATTTTTTTTTGCATTTCATGTTTTTTTCTTTGCGCAAAGAGGTTCACCGGAAGACTCTTGACCATGCATTGGAACGTTGCAGGAGCAAGGTGTAAAGGAGGAGGAGTTGCAAAATAAAAGAAGAATTAAGTGGATGAAAACTCGTAAAGCATTGCAAAAGGATCGAGAGAAGCTAAAAATTTCCCGACGCCGGCAAGCTGAAGCTCCACCGGCATCGGAAAGCATGTTGAGAAGTGGTGCCTCGATTATCGCCTTATAAGTGAAAACTTTACTGTAAGGTCATGAAAAGTAACATCAAGTTAGAAAGATTAATTGAGAAACTTTACAAGATTATGAAAAAACTAATCAACAAGATTATAGAAAACTCTCTAGCAATAGTTTAGAATCTTTCATTAATTTACTTTTTATTATTTTATTAAAGTCATCAAAATTCCTTGTAAATTAGGAACTAATAACACCCCCTTACTCTTAAATATTATTTTTTATTTATTTTTCCCTCCAGTCTATTTATAAAAATATTTTTTAGTATAAAGTTTTTCTAAATGTACACAAAAATCTATGTTTTTCTCTATAATTTGACATGCATTTTGTTCAATGATTTCATATATATTTCATACATATTTTTATTCGTACAACTCACTAGGTGTGCAGACGTATAGAAATATACATATTTTTATTCGTACATCTCATTAATTGTACAGATGTATAAAAATATACATATTTTTATTCGTATTGCCTATTTAATGACATTAAATATGAATTTAAAAATAATGCACATATGTGCATTAAATATGTCGTACGAATCGTATTATATAGTTATTTCTATTAAAAATAAAATTTCAATGGCATATTCGTAAGTAACATGTCTTGTTTAGGGTTTGGAAGTTACTCAAATAGTAGCAAATAGTGAAAAGTGCAGGTTTTACTAATTGTAAATAACTAGGATATGAACTGCGCATGTCCGACTTAGAGGCAGTGCTGATAGTGTTAAAGCATTGGATCCACATTTTTTTTTAGTTCTTATAAGGTTTTAAGGTCCTAAATTTTTGATATTTTCGTAAACAAGGGTCCTAAATTTTAAAACTTTGCAAATAAGACCTTAAGTTTTGAGGAAAAAAAATAAATGGGCAGAAGGTCCAAAAAACTTTTGAGCCGGCCCTGGACCCGCGGTACACCGCGGAAAAATGATTTTTGTTTTTTTTTTTTATAAACTAATGAATCTATTGTATTAGTTATGTATGTTTATTGGTACTGTAACCTAAGTTTGATTTTGTACGATTTTTAATAAGATATAACTTTGTGATATTCTAAGTGTAATAGTATGGGGTTTTTATATCATGAAACTATATTTGTTTTAGTTTATCTCTGTATAGTTAAAATGACAATTATTTCACTGTTGCTTGGTATATCAAATATATATGTTAATATAGATTGTATAGATGCTTTGTGTGTTAAAAATGTTTTGTTTTTGTTGCATCATTTTATTATAAATAAAGCACCCAAACATTTTGCAACTAGTTTTCTAATTATGTTTGAAAAACTCACTATTTATGCAACTTATCTCTTTCTTTATCGAGCATGGAATTTATCTGTTAACTATAATACTAAATAAAACGACAATATTATTTTACTTTTTTTGTTTGACGTAAAAAATTCTTTTAGGATGTTTGGGACGAAACTAATATTACATGATGTGGTTACGGGCATGAGAGGATCACGGGGTTTTGCCCAGAACCTCATGGTATTCAAAAGAAAAAAAAAAAAAAATCTTTTTGGAGGGGTTATTGGTTCATGAATTTATAAGGAATTGAAAATCCAAACAAAAATCATTTGTTATTCAATCATTGATTTTAAAATCCTAATTAAAATCATGTGTTATTGGTTCTATAATTAATAAATATTAATTAAAATTCTATGTTATTCGTTTAGTCATTTGTTTTTGGATTTGAGAATCCAAATTATGTTTTATAAATGAATTTGAATGGATTTGAAAGAGAAAAATAGAAGGATTCAAATCCATGGATAAGCACATGTTATTTCAAAATCCATATGTATTGATTTCATAATTAATAAAAAAAATTCAAATTCTATATGGATTTAAAAATCAAGAGCGACGGGCTGTTAAAGACTTTTGTTTTGGGAATCTAAATATATATACATGCATGGATTGACAAAAAAAAAAAAAAAACAATCCGGTGTCTTCTTGGTCATCAAATGTCTCCATATTAAGAACAAATGGTGGGTGAGCTAGTAAAAGAAAAATCAAAATTTCAATTATGTTGTATGCTTTAGCTAAATGTCTTACTTGGGAAAGTCATTCTTCAAGACTCGAACTAAAAAAGCTACAAGTAAATTAGTCAAGAGAAGAACTATTTAAAACCAAAAAAAAAAAAAAAGAACTATGACACACGAACTATATAATTATAGGATCCGAAAGGGTAATTGTAGTTTTCCTTTCCCAAAACTTCTGGAAAATTGAGGATAGGATTGGGCGTTCTCGAGTAACCCACCTTGAAATAGATTTTTTTTTTTTTGGTTTTAATATTAAGATACCTAAAGTTAAATTACTCGTAGACTAATTAAACAAACAATAGAATAAGTGTAATAGTTATAAACCTAAGGTGCTACGGAAATATCGGAACATGTAATATACCTAAACTGCTCGTATGGTAGGCTTGTAGCAGAGGATAATTAAATTTTTTTTCATAAAAATAATTAAACAAAGAATAGATAAGTTTTCTTTTGATAAAATATTAAAACTCTCAAAATATTTCTGACGAAGCAGAAAAATAAAAATCTATTATGATGTAACAAACTGATCATTATCAACAACTAAAACAAAAGTTTAACAATTAAATATTATATAAACCAGTTATATACTTTTCTTTCTTCAACCGTTTTAGTTTCTATCTCCCTAGGACTTTCCGTTACATTCCCATGGAGAAACAGAAGACCCCGACGATGCAACCAACCTCCGAAGAGTTCCACAAAGCCGCCTTCAAGCTTCTTGCGAATCCCCACATCAAACCGACGGTGGAGTTCATCACCGCCCTCACAAAGCCACGGAAATATCAAGAAGATAGAAAGTTCTTCCGTTTCTGCGTTGCCAATTACCCGGGATGCTTCTCCGTCAAGCTCATGCGTGTCTGCGCCTCGAAAGAACCACGTGTCTCTTACGAGATCAGAGAGAGTGCGATGAGGTTTCTCCATGGTATCTTCATCACTGAAGAAGCTTCTATGGATTTTGAAGTGGTTCAAGTATTCTCGAGTTTACTCATATCTTGCCTTGAAGAACAAGTTATCTCGGAAACCAGTTTCAAGACTCTTTGCTTGCTCGTGAAGCGTGTCGCTTTCGAGAAATTCACCATTCAGGAAACAACGTGGCATGGCCTGCTTGAGTTTATCTTGTCTAGAGCGGAACCAGAGTTTGCGAAAGCGGTTTTCGTGTTCAAGAGCTTGTCGATGCCTTTAGATGAAGAAGAGTTTCTGATTCCTCTCATGGAGAATCTTCTTCCTGCGATCTTGAAACGTTTAGGTGACAACGAGGAAGAGAGTTCGAGCCAGTGGGGTTTAGCGTTTGTGGGTGGTTTTTGTGCGGCGGTTCACTTGTTGGAGACGACACGTGTTGCTTTGGTGGAGAATCTTGCTAGTATGATGTTGAAATCGGTGAACAGAAGAATGGAATTAGGGTTTCTTTTGAAAGCTCTTAGGGATCTTGAAATAGCTATAGTGGAACAGTTATGGTGGTATTGTACTACAGAGTTTAAATTCGTCTTGGGTTTGATTCAGAGGATTGATGCGATTATCACTGAGCAGACGGCGAAGAATGTGTTGCAGAGGATTAAGATGGTTGTGAAGAAGAAGATGCTTGAATATGTTGGAGAGATTGATAATGGTGACGAAGATTGGCTTAATCAGCGCCATTGAGTTTGGTTGCTTCCTGCCCAAGTAAACAAATTCTTAGGGGAATGTTTTGGTTTTGGTTTTGGTTTTGGTAATTAGGTCTTTATATATTGGTGTTACGCGTACGAGTGGATTGAATGAAATAGAGTTTTAGGACTAATACTTTTTGCATCTTTGGTCATGATCTACTAATCTTGTGTAAATTTTGAGAGTTTGAGTTCTGACGTTGAGACTTGATGAACAATGAAAGGACTAACTCTCTATCCATAAGAGTCGTAGAGGAGGCAAGCATTATACATAGGAAAAACTATATGCGAAAAGTAACATAAAAAAACATCAGACCAAATTCTGGAAAACTAAAGCAAAAAGGAAAAGAGTAACAAATTTTTGCCTAAGCACAATGAAACATTGTCGTTATCCTTACCGGCTTTCCAAATTCTGATGCAGACATTACTTCCCAGCCATATAACCAGTTTTGTTAGAGTTGTTGTATTTTGTAGTGGAAACTCTATAACTGATACTAGATCATCACCCGTACTACAGTACGGGTTGAATTTCATTTATTACAAAATTTATATATTATATAGTTATAGAATAAAATCGTGATATATTATAATAGTAAGTAAAAAAATATTAATTTTTTTTTATGTCAGTCCATATATATATCATATTAGAATGAATATATTTTTATTTTTCTTTAATCCTCAATTATGGATATATTTTTTAAAGATATGAAAACGGAAAATAATATTATTTTCAAAAAAAATAATATTGTTTGAACAATGAGTTAATTTATGTTAACAACCACAAAATGAGAGTGCATATAATTTAGTTAGATCAAAAATCAAAATATCATAAATGAATCGCATCTAAAACGTAGATTATTTTGAATTAGTTAAAAAAGTTAGCTATTATTTTGAATTAATTTAGGAAATTATTTTTTCAAATTTTAATTCATTGGTTGTTGAAATAGAGATTTGTTTGAGCTAA